TTTAATTTAATTTCAAGTGGATTTTATTTCGTTTTATTTATTAAAGCTATAGAATCTCCAATGAAATTAATAATTTTCAATAAAATCTCTAAATAAAATCACAAGATTATAGAAAATCTAAAAATTATATATGGAAGAAATTATGCACTTGAATTAATTAAAGTTAAATTAGGAAAACTCTGATTTAGAAATCTAATTAATAAAAAATATATACATTTTTATTAAAAAATTCTATAAATGCTGATTCACAAATTCTGGAGAATCTAGGTACTCTGCGTAATTTTTTTCATGATTCCTTCTGTTCTGAATATACTCACACTCGCTTTCCTCTAAATTGTTGTTGATATTATTTCGTTTCTCATTGGTTTTACTATCGGTGCCGCTGTTAGTTCTTGGATTAGTGTTGCTGTTGCTATTTTCCCGAAAATTAGACGTAAAATTACTGTGCGCCTCTTTCTGCATCCTCTGTGCCTCCTTCTGAGCTGCGACATTATTTCGAAGCTCGCTCAGTGCTTTTCGCATCTTCTGCAATGAATAAGCCGCTGCCATTCGCGACATTAACTTATCCTTCACCTGTCACATAACATTTTTACAGATTACGTTTTATCTTTTAATGAATTTCTAACTAATTTTTTTAAATATTTAATTTTTAAAAATATTTTTTAATCGACGAAATAGTAATTAAAAATTGGATAGTTTAGGAAACTTATATTTTCCGAAAATTTTAGTTGTATAGTATTTTGAAATAATTTTATTTATAATTCGAATGAAGCTTATATGCAGAAGTATCAGCAGAAAAATTACCTTTTGCAGATCTGCTTCATCTTCCGAAGCGGCGTACCTCATAGCTTCTTCAATAATTAGATCCTTAATATATTTTAATTTAGAGTCCATCTGCTCAAGTTTATCCTTCCGCTCATTCTCGTCGTCGTCCTTTGACTTCAAATTTTCGGCCATATTCTGTTAAAACATTTTCAAAAATTCATATAAACGTTTTAACAAAAAATAAATTTATTGAAAAATACTATTTATTTTTATAACAGTTTTAACATTTTGTTAGTTTTCTTTTGAATTTTATTATCGTCTTTTCTGAAAAAATACAATAAATTAGTACTTTATACTTATAGTCAAAGTTATATTATTATTTATTAATATAAATAGCAGATGAATTTCAAGTGGATTTTATTTTGTTTTATTTATTAACAAAGCTATAGAATCTCCAATGAAATTAATAATTTTCAATAAAATCTCCAAATAAAATCACAAGATTATAGAAAATCTAAAAATTATATGGAAGAAATTATGCATTTGAATTAATTAAAGTGATGATTCAAATGAATGATAAACATCTATTTCCTTTTATCGCCGCCACTGTGTAATGCATCCAACAAGAAAATTTTAACAATTACGATCTACCTCATAGTAGCGTTGCAGCATCCACTCGTCGTCCTGATTCTGCGTGCCCTGTCCGGCTGTGAAGGTGGCCTTCTTCTTCCTTCGATCGATGCCGAAATATTGCGACCAGTCGACACTCTTCTTCCTCACCTGAATGAATTTCGATTTGGCCGTCTTCGTAGCGTTTTCCTTTTGTCCCTTCGGAGCTGGCGTCATTTTCAATGGCGCTTCTGACTTGCTTTCGTGACTACCGTGCTCGTGTTCGTGATCGTGATTCTGATTGGGTTCGTGCTTGTATTCGTGACTCTGGTTAAATTCTTGCTTGTGATCGTGGTCGTGATCGTGATCGGATTTATGGGTGTGATTGTGCGAGTCCGTGAATTGCGTGCCGAATAGGGCTCCCAGATCTTGAGCAACCTTAAAATAAGAATGGAGGATCAAGCTGCTTGAAAACTTTTTACAGCATTGCTCTTATACTTGAACATTATACTTGAACATTCTACATAAATATTCTGTATCTAGATCTGTACCTAAATTTTTATTTTGATGGTCCAATAAAATCATTTTGAAATTCATATGTAACTAAATTTGTAATCATTTCGTAACTAGCTAAATTTTTAATTATTTTGACTGTTCAACAAAATTATTTATTGATTTGTATCTGAATTGATTGAATTTTTATTTTTGCAAAATCGTTCTTTCCACGTATGTCCACGTCGACATCGTCCGATTTTTTGTAATTTCGTAAAAAGCTCTGCGAAATCAATACGAAACGATTGATAGCAGATGACTGACCAGTTATCCCATTATCTTCAAATAGCGCGGCGTTGTTTGCGTTACCTTGGGATCCGTGGATTTTAATCTGGTTTGGGTCGGCTTGGGGCTTCTCTTAGCGACCGGATAGCGTTTGGTCAGTTTGCGATAACTGCCGAATTCATGACCGAAATGGGGAAATGGAGAACCATTTACGTTTCTACGTTCTGCCGGCAAGTACAGGATGTCCTGATCTTGATTACGATCCACAAATTCGTCGTCGTTGCCGTCCTTCGTCTGGCTTCTCAGCAATGGGCCTTTACTAAGCAGCTCGCCCCAAGACATTGGTCCTGTCGTTCTATCGAGAAAATATTCTTAAGTCCCTTTTTCACCCCATTAATAATCATCCGCATGCTCCGTTTTCAGGACGAAAATGATATTATATTATACGAAAAATATTATACAAAAATTCATTATATTTTATTAGAGAAAAAAAATATTTGAGTGATATAAATAAGCAACGATTGCTGGAATGTTTCTTGCTTACTGGGAATCTTCCTTTAAATTACTCATACAATATGAAATCGGGACACGAGACGTTTTTAGTTCCAATTTTGGATTTTGTGTTGTTGAATATCTGCTATTATTCCTAGTCTTTCTTTTTTGTTTGACTCAAAATGTAGTTCTTCTATTATAATATTTTATTTACAACTTTTTTCTCTGATATTTAACGACTTTGTTTGTTACCGTAAAATCTTTTTTATGAAAAAATTTTATTTTTTTATATTTTAGAACTATTTAATTAGATTGAGATATGAGATATCGCGCATAAATTTGAAGACCGATATTAAATGAATATTCCAACAACGCATCATCAAGCTTAAATCAACTTATCTATAATTTATATAATTAATATATGCATAAATCAATAGAATTCTAAAGTTCGCTCTTTATGGTTGTGATCTTTATTGGCAAAGGTCAAAGGAATTAAAGGATCGAACTCACTCGTATACTTTGTTCCCTCTACCAGCTCTGTATCTGTCGTAAAGCGATTGTAAAGCAGTTAGATAATCGTCGTCATCTACTTCCACGAGCGCTCCGTACGGAGAACCGTCCTGCAGTTCCTCCACGAATAGCTTTGTCGGATCCTTGTCGTCCAAGTTCATCCGTTCACCGGCACCACCCCGTTTACGGCTACCGCTTCGCTCGCGCTCGCGGAAAATCGAGGCCACCGGTTCTTCCTGTAAGCAATCATCATCGCGATGCTCGATATATAGCATCTCGTTCAATTTTGATTATTTAAAAAGTTTTTGCTTTCGATTTTTATGTAGAAGGGAAGAATATTACAATCAGCAAAATGAAGCTCTCTCTCTTTTGAAAGAGACTTTAATCAATTTTGATTTTTTTAAATGGATTTTATTATGATTTCAACGAGAAATTACTACGTTTATATTATTTAATAAAAAACATAGAGGAAAGCCTTCTATTATGAGATAGGCACCTAATATGAGATAATGGTGTTTCTGTTACATTATAATAATAAACGCTATATATTGGTTCCACCATAAATTTATTGCTCTTGGATTGAAAACTATTTAATAGAAAGTTTATTATTAGATCATGCCTGTAATCATTATAAAAATAGATTTTAGAATTTGGATGTCTTCAAGCTTCATTAAGATGAGCTTTTAAACCTCGTTTATTATTTAATAAATAAATATTTGGCAATAAATTTTTCATGTAGTGATAGAGTAAGATCGATTAATAGAAAAAAAAACGGGATATGTTGAATTGCTTAATTGTAGAAGTTAGATTTGATCGTAAAACCGTAAGGCGTGGAAATCATAATATGAGATATCCAGAGTATTTCTAATGTAAAATAATCCATGTTCTTATATTATAATGAAAATCGTTGCTAAAGTATAAATGTTATTGTACAATAATAAAAAGAATAACTGGAATGAATGTCGAGTGCCTATTTCTATGATTCTCGAACTACCTGAAGATGAGTTCTGCGTATAATCTATCGCATGCTCATTTTTTGCGCATGCTGGCTATATTTGTATTTTACAAACATTTAATAAAGTTTTTTAATTGCAATACTGATATACTTTGCATTTTATCGATTTCTCATATTAGGAGCACAATTTTTTGACTTTGCGATTTACTTACTTTTTTCTTTAATTTAAAAAAAAATGAAATTTGAATTAAATTTTATATAATATTATTTTATAGCTTATTAAATTCCCTTCCAAATGATCTATTATTTTTTTAATTCTGTCCATAAACTTCTAGCATTTATCCAAAATGAACTCCAAAATGAATTATCTCATAATAAGAGCTTTTCTTCTATACATATATAATTATGTATATAGTTATGTATTTAGTATCTATATAAATATCTATAAATTATATAACTTCATCATATATATTTATTATTTATTTACTAATTATATACAAATTTATAATAAAAGCTATAAGCATTTAGGTAAAAAAAACTTATTGCATATATTGCTAATCTTTAATCTTGTTTTGTTGAATTTTCTGCAAGCAAACAAAATATTTTCTGGTTGAGGTGAGTAAAATTAATATCAAATTAATAACAATTTGTATTTAATCTTAGAAATTAATTTGTTTTGATTAAAAAACGGAATGACTATCTCTATTGTCTATCTTTTTCATTGAGGTTGGATTATCGATAAATCTCAATTTACAG